TGCTATGTTGCCAAGTATGTGGTCAAATTTAGAGGAGGTTCCATGTGGCACTGAGAAGAAGGTAAATTGTTTTGTATATGGAAGGAATGTTCTATCTGTTAAGTCCAATTGCACCATAATTTCTATTAGTTCTTTTGTTTCTTTGTTAAGTTTCTCTCTGGTTTCCTGCCCAGTGGTGAGAGTGGGGTGTTGCAATCTCCCACTATAAGTGTGTGACGGTTTTATGTGTGATTTGAGTTTTAGTAAAGTATCTTTTACAAACGTGGATGCCTTTGTATTTGGGGCATAAATGTTCAGAATTGAGACTTCATCCTGATGGATTTCTCCTGTGATGAGTAGCAAATGACCTTCTTCATTTCTTTTGACTGATTTTAGTTTAAAGTCCAATTTGTTGGATATTAGGATTGCTAACCCCACTTGTTTCTTGGGTCCATTTGATTGGATCAACCTTTAATTCTTAGGTACCGTATGTCTTTGAGGTTGAGGTGAGTTTCTTGTATGCAGCACAAGGAAGGATTCTGTCTTCTTATCCATTCTGCTAATCTGTGTGTTTTTGTAGGGGAATTGGGACCATTAATGTTGATGGATATTAATGACCATTGATTATTGTTCATTCTTGTTTGTTTTTGATTTGGTGATGGTGGTGAGATTATGTGTGGAATTCTGTCCCTTTTTCCTTTTGGCTGTTGGTGGGTTGGGATTATCTATTGCCTATGTTTTTCTAGTTGTAGTTAATTTCCCTGGGTTGGATTTTTCCTTCCAATACTTTCTGTAGGGCTGGATTGGTGGATATGTATTGTTTGAATCTGCTTTTTTGAAATCTTTGCTGGGTATAGTAGTCTGGGCTGGCATCCATGGTCTCTTAGTGTAGGTATAATATCTATCGAAAACCTTCTGGCTTTCAGAGTTTCCAAGGAAAAGTCAGGTGAATTCTGATAGGTTTGCCTTTATAGGTTACTTGACCTTTTTCCATTGCTGCTCTTAATATTTTCTCTTTGTTGTGTCCGCTTGGTGTTTTGATTATTATGTGTCGAGGTGACCTTTTTTTTTTTTTTTTGGTCCAGTCTATTTGGTGTTCTGTAGGCTTCTTGTATTTTCATTGTCATGTCTTTCTTTAGGTTGGGAAAGTTTTTTCCTATGATTTTGTTGAATATGTTTTCTGCGCCTTTGAGTTGGATTTCTTCACCTTCTTCTATACCTATTATTCTTAGGTTTGGTCTTTTCACAGTATCCCATATTTCCTGGATATTTTGTGTTAGGGATTTGTTGGACTTAAGATTTTCTTTGGTTGATGAATCTATTTCCGCTAGTGTGTCTTCAACTCCTGAGATTCTCTCTTCCATCTCTTGTATTCTGTTGGTTATGCTTACATCTGTAGTTCCTGATCGTTTACCCAGGTTTTCTATTTCCAGCATTGCCTCAGATTGTGCTTTCTTTATTGTCTCTATTTCAGTTTTTAGGTCTTGAACTGTTTCTTGTACTTTTTGGTTTGTTTTGTCTTCAGTTTCTTTAAGGGATTTTCTCATGTCCTCTTTGAGGTCCTCCATCATTTTCCTGAAGATGTTTTTACGGTCATTCTCTTCTGGTTCATCTGCATCGTGATGTTGAGGTCTTACTGGTGTATGGTTCCTAGTCTCCTTTCTTCTGGTGGGTGTAGCAAGTGTTTCTTGTTCTCCTGGTGGGTGTGGGACTATGGTTCCCCTCTGGTAGATGCAAACAGATCCAATACTCTGATGTCGGTCCTCTTCTCGTGGATGAAGGCGTCACTATTATCTGGGTTTCGGCAATGTCCGGGCGTGCCGGGTCCTGCCGGGCCAGCAGTTGGAGGCAGAGCTGTCACCGGGCCTGGGGATGTTGGATTCCGCTGCCAAACTCCGTATGGTCACTTGTGTCAGATGACTCTGAGCAGCCATGACAGGAAACAGAACCAGTTCCTGGCCTACCTTGGCCTGTGGATGGAGGCCGGGCTGCCTCTGGGTGTTTGGTGTTGGTAACCCTCCATGGCCGAACTGGGTCTGGCACATTGGTCCCTTGCCTCAGATGACTCTGAGCAGTGATGACAAACTGGAACCGGAAACAGTTCCTGGCCTACCTGGTCCGGCGGATGGAGGCCGGGCTGCATCTGGGTGATCGGTGTTCGGAACCCATCGCTGCCGAACTGGGTCCAGCTCGAAGGTCGCTTGCGTCAGATGACTCCGGCCATATTTATTTTTATGTGTGTGTTTAGCCTGCATTTATGCACCTCTTTGAGCATCTTTGAAATCACAAGAAGACAAACAACTTTATCTAATATTTTTAAGAGAACAAACCTTATTGAATGTTTAGAGGCCTCATATCAACATTATTTTTTCTGGTTTTTTTTTTTTTTTTCTGAAGAGGGTTTCACTATGTAACAGCCCTAGCTGACCTGAAACTTGCTCTGTAGACCAAGCTGGCCTTGAACTCACAGAGATCCACCTGTGTCTGCCTCCCAAAGTGCTGGGGTTAAAGGTGTGGGCCAACCCCCACACCACCACCTCCCTGGCCAGAGTAACATTTTTTAAGTTGAAAATGATACTGAACTTTAATAAATTTAGCATGTTTTTTTTCTGTATTCCCATCTTATCTTTCCAACCAAACACAAAGAGAGGTGGGTTTGTTTAATTTTATACTCTAAAGTATCTAGCGTGATATTTTCCACACAAAGTAGGTGCTGCAACACAGTGTGTGTGTGTGTGTGTGTGTGTGTGTGTGTGTGTGTGTGGTGTGTGTGTTTAACCCAACATGTTCTGGGTGAGGCATATAACAATCACCCATGTGCTTCATAGGAATGCTGTCTCCTCATATATGTTTTTCCTTTCATGAAGCCTTCTGGAACATCCCCATCCTAGTCTGTGCCAGGCTCTCTGTTGGGAGCTGGAAATATAAAGAAGAGTGCAGATAAGAATATGGCCCACTAGGCCCTCACAGTCTATTAAGGATCAGACATAAGTCAAGAACAATGACAAACAACTGAGATGGGTATGCAGTAATTAAGATGTATACAAATTGTGTTGTTGGAAGCAAACGAAGGAAAGTAAACTCCCTCTGACTGACTGAGTTGGGGCTTCTTGGGAGAGAAGGTGTTCAATTGGCCAAGAAAAGAGGGGGATTTGTGAGGAACTTTGTGTGGACAAAATGACAAAAGCATTAAAGGGAGGGTTCCGAACTCAGTGTGTTGGGAATGAAGGGTAATGAGATGAGTGAGATGAATATCCGAACTAGGCTGAAGACAGATGGGGGCTTGCTTGCAAGGGGGCAATATGATGTGTCAGGACCTGTTGAGGAGTTCCCTAACAGCCTG